TGTTTTTTTTTTTTTTAAAAGGACAGCAGTACCCACCAAAATACAAAAAGCACCCTTCACTGCAATAAGCAAATGGCGACGGAGAAGAAGTCTCCAGACACCGAGCTCCTATTCCACCGCCATCCGGTTCAGGAACGTCAAAGCGGGGTGAAGACAACCGAGGGTCCCCCACCGGGAGTCACCCCAGGGGATACCGGGCGTCCGATGGGTCCCCCGGGGCCGCACGGCGTACCCACCAAAATACAAAAAGCACCCTTCACTGCAATAAGCAAATGGCGACGGAGAAGAAGTCTCCAGACACCGAGCTCCTATTCCACCGCCATCCGGTTCAGGAACGTCAAAGCGGGGTGAAGACAACCGAGGGTCCCCCACCGGGAGTCACCCCAGGGGATACCGGGCGTCCGATGGGTCCCCCGGGGCCGCACGGCCCGCCCCCACGTAGACACCCCTGCGGCGAGGTCCCCGCCAGGGTCCGGCCCCGACTCACCGTGCGTCCCGGGAGCTGACGGGGCCGCCGCGCGACACAGCGGGGCTGACGCTGGAGCTCCGGCCAGCTAAGGCACTGCACACCGACCTAGGCCCTCCCAACGCCTCGCCACAGACACAATGAGTCACAAAGACCGGAAGTAGGTCAGCATCCCGTCGTCCGGGACCGGGCTGCGCTTTCGGTCCTCTCTAGGAACACGGGAGGACTGTGCATCTCGGTTTCCGGATCGCCTGTCCTGGACGGGTCGGGTCTCCCTCCCTCGAGTTTTGACTGCAGGATCTGCTTTCTTGTTCTTTTTGTAATTAAAGGAATGTTTTTGGCTTCACTCCTTTAGTCCCAGCACTCGGGAGGCAGAGGTAGGAGGAGCCCCGTGAGTTCAGGGCCAGCCTGGTCTACATAGCGAGTTCCAGGCCAGCTGGGGCTACAGGGAGACCGTGTCTCAAAAAGACCAAAAGAGCGGGGCTGGAGAGATAGCTCAGCGGTTAAGACCACTGACTGCTCTTGCAGAAGACCCAGGTTCGATTCCCAGCACCCACATGGCGGCTAAGAACCGTTCTTAACTCCAGTTCCAGGGGAATCCGAAACCCTCTTCTGACCTCCACTGACCTCCGCGGCATTGCACGACACAGGTGAACTCACATCCACGCAGTCTATACACCCATACACATAAAGCAAAAATTTAAAAAAAAAAGTTCTTGGTTTATTTTTTAAAAAAAAAAAAGGACTATAGTAGTAAAGATTTATATATAAAGATTAAAGTGACAGGGTATTTCCAGACTAGAAGGGATAATGAAATCCATTTTAAGCAAACTTATTAAAGGTCTGAACAGGTTTATCGAGATACAGAGTTGTTAATTTCAGCCCACTACTGGCTTGTACTGCACACTGGGATGTACATTTGGATTAAATGGATGCACACAAGTATTGGGTGACTTACGGCTACTAAAAGATCTTTTTTTTTTTGGTCTTTTTGAGACAGGGTCTCCCTGTAGCTCCAGCTGTCCTGGAACTCACTCTGTAGAGCAGGCTGGCCTTGAACTCACAGAGGATCCATCTGCCTCGAGTGCTGGGATTAAAGGTGGACACCATGCCTGGCTTGAAAATAACATTTTTGAAAAGCAAGTGTGGGGTTGTCTCCTGGTAAACTCTGCAATTAATATTTTGTGAAGGAAACTTGATGAGTGCTGCAAACACTTTGGGGGAAACCTCTGTTGTTTCACTTTGAGTCTGGATGCTACTGAATTGTAATAAAGTGACTTCATTTATGAGAAGCTTGCTACCCTTTGGTAGGGAAGGTCCTAGCTGGTGACCCTGTTAATCAAGGCACATAGTGCTAGAAACAAAAGGGTCAGGCTTGGATCCTGACTCTGAGATGAATCTGTAACTTATAGAGATCATGGAAGGATTTCTAAATTTATGTCTTACTGACTTTGGAAAATCTGAGCTGCCATCTCAAGGTGGCAAGAATTCTGGCTTCTGATTTGCTTTCCTGCTTTCTTTTTGTTTAGGAGGTTGGAAATAGATGCTGATATTTTGTCATCTCCTTAGCAACGGAACAGAACATCTGATTAATTCATCCTGTCCTTTGGGCAGAAAAATTGTCAGCCTGTAGTGAAAACTGTATTCAGAATCTATTTCTCTGAGCTGCTGTGGTCCTCTGATGTGACTTTCATTTATGTGCTTTAAGCCAGAGCAGTTTAAAGCAGTCACTGTGATTGACCCAACAAGGTTTTGCCTCAGCTTGGCTTGAAAATGTATGTTGTATTTTCTACCAGAGCACATGTAGTTCCATAGGTGGTGGTGTGACTGAGCCTAGGCTGACACCCAGGGATAGAGCCCCACATCTGTACTGACATCACCAGGAAAATATGATGCCAGTGGTTGGCAAGCTGCCAAAAAAAGCCTTATTTTTAACTTTATCTTTATTTTCACCCTGTAACTTGATAACCACAGTGGATCTTTTTGCAGATTGACCCATACCCCTCTGACTGCTGGCAAGAGGTCCCAAGTTTTGGAACTACAGGCATGTGCCACCATGCCTGGCTAACTCCTGAGCAATCTTTCCAGCACGGCACAATGGCTTTTTTTTTAAAAAAAAGAAAGAAAGAAAGAAAGAAAAAGAAAGAAAGAAAGAAAGAAAGAAAGAAAGAAAGAAAGAAAGAAAGAAAGAAAAGATTTTGCTGTGTAGCCAAGGCTGACCTGGAACTCTCCACAGAGTACAGACTGGTCTCAAACTCAACCTCACTCGAAGTTGTTATAATTCTGTTATTGTCTTCCTTATTTATTCAGAAACTAAAGATAAACCAAGTGCTAATGGACTTTCCAAGAAACTGGAGAGAGGAGCTCCTTGCATAATTGATACTCCTTGACTGTGTAATCTTTGCCCATCCCTCCAACTCTCTCAGCAGCAGTGTGTCACTGAAAAATGAGCTGAATAATATTGCAGTCTCCTTTTTACCATACAGGATAAAGATGAACTAACGCTGGTAGAAACCTCTAAGTGCTACTCAAATATTGGCACCATGGTAATGAGGCTCCTTCATAGAGTACCTGGCAGGTTTTGTGTGTGTGTGTGTGTGTGTGTGTGTGTGTGTGTGTGTGTGTTTATGTGTGATGTGAAACAGGATGGAGACAGATTAGTAGATAAAATTTCTGGTATCTTTTTATTTTCCCTTAGAAACTTTAAGGAATGAAGAAGACCAGCTTAGAACTTGCCCACCCCCACCCCACCCCCGACACTTTTTGAGACAGGACTTTCCTGTAGCCTCAGCCTGGAAGTTGTTATGGTGACTAGGCTGGCCTTGATCTCACAGAGATCCACTTGCCTCTGCCTACTGAGTGCTGGGATTAAAGGCATGCACCACCACATCTCGCTCATAAACTTTTTTTTTAAAAGAATGTAAATATTAATCAGAAATACCAGTCTTTGTTTAAGAAAGGGAATACATGTGTTTGAGTGGAGTTTGGAAGATAGTGGTTCTTAACATGTGGCCCCTGGCCCATTGTCTTCAGTATCACCTGGGAGCTGATCAGAGTTACCTTTTAGGGAACTCTCCAGACCTAACCAATCAGAAACCAGTAATCTTTATTTTTATTCCTTTGTTCTTTAATTCTTTTGTCCCTTCCATTTTCCCCCTTCTTCTCTCCTCTCCTCTCATCCCTTCTCCATCTCTTTCATAAGAAATATTTATGTTTTTGTTTATTTATGTGTGTGTATGTGCGTGAGTGCCTGTGGAGGCTAGAAGGGGGTGTTGGATCCTCTGGAGCTGGTCAGTTCCCACAGAGGTGCTGGGAACCAAACTCTGGTCCTCTGAAAGATAAGCAAGCACTCTTAAAACACAGAGCCACCTCTCCCCAGCACCTCCCTTTTTTTAAAGAAAAAAATTCATTATTATTTATGTGTGTATATTTTTGTGTCATTGTGTGTGTATGTACATATAAATGGGTGCCTGTGGAGGCCAGAAGAGGGCGCCAGATCCCTGGAGCTGGAGTTACAGGTGGTTGTAAACCACCCAATGTGGGTGCTGGGAATGGGGCTTGGTACTCCAAAAGCAATATATGCTCTTAAACACTGAACTATTGCTCTAACCCCATAGATTAAAAATTTTATCTGTAATGTATAAAACCAGCTAAGCAGTATGAGGTAAGACTCTGACTGGTTATACAGATTGGAGAGTGGGGTAATTTTTAAACATGACACTCAAGGGGGATTTCATTGACTTTCCCTATTGGCAGGTAGATATAATTTTTTTCTCAATTAATTATTCTTATTTGTCTGTGCATGTATGTGTCACAGGACACCTCTTAGGAATTGGCTCTCTCCTCCACCCTTGGTTCTAGGGATTGAACTCAGGTCATCAGGCTTGTGTATCAAGTGCTTTCACTGCTGAGCTATCTTGCCAGCCCCAGGCAGGCAGATTAGATTTTAAAAAATCTTTTATTTATTTTTTTATTTTATGTGTATGGATATATTGCCTGCATATATGTGAGTGCACCCATGTCATGCAATGCCGTGGAGGTCAGAAGAGGGCTTCAGATTCCCCTGGAACTGGAGTTAAGGACGGTTCATAGGCGCCATTTGGGTACTGGGAATCGAACCCGAGTCCTCTGCAAGAGCAGTCAGTGCTCATAACTGCTGAGCCATCTCTCCAGCTCCCAGATTAGATTTTTTTTAAAACTAAAACCCTCCTCACTGAGGAATCTCTCTCCATCTTTACCACAGACACATTATTTGAAGAGAAGGTGCCATCTCGCCTCTATCTCTACCCTTCTGTCTGTAGAGGCTGGTCTAGAAGTGAATTCCTCATCCAAACTGGGCTACTGACCCCTTTGGCCACTAATCAGCTTGAAAGTCTTTGAATGACTGTGTTTTTGAAACTTAAGAGGTGTGTTCTGGCTCCCCCTGGTTTTGGAGGTGATTCTAGCTTTTCAGATATAGCCAAAGTGAGACAGTAAAACTGACAAGGAGAAAAAAGTAGAGCTGGCTGTGGCACTCAATGGCTTCTTCCTGTAAAGCTCTTTCTGGTTAAATGAGTTCACATTTTTTCTGAGTCTTAATTTGATTCAATTTCTATCAGCTATTGTTGCATGACAGTGTTCCTGAGAAGAGGTGAATAAATGTCTGCTCATCCAAGATAGGAAACAGATCTCAGACCAAAGAAAGGATATCACCACAGTTCATCTTGGTGAACCAATGAGTTTTATTTGGGTTACTTACAAGAGTATGGGTGAGGGGTTACTTACAGAGCAGAAATGACTCATAGACAGCTGCATCACCAAAACCCATCCCAGCATGGGTGACAGCTCAGGAAAGCAGGAAACCTGGAGCTCACCACACAACCTACAGGCAGCTCAGCAGGTTGGAGAGTGTCCTTTCCAGGAAGCTCAGATGGTCTCTGCCTTTTCTAGACAGCTTAGTTTGAGAGTGTCTCTCCGCAGTCCTTAGAGCTTATATACTTGGAGACTGAGGGGCCTAGTGAATCTGGGCAGTTTCAGGGACTTCCTAAAGCCTTTGAGTTGTTCTGTTTCCTGAGCTTAAGGAGGTTCCCTGCAGGACAGAATGTTTCACCTCCCTTTAGATGATCCTGTACCTTAAGCTTCCCTCCAAGATGGAGGATTCT